CCGGCCGGGCCCGGCTCCTCCCGGCTGCGGGGACAGAGCTGAGGCCGCGGGCAGGGTCTCCTGCCGGGGGAGCGCCGGTAAGGTAAGCAAGCAAAAGAGCAGGATTTGGGGCTTATCTTAATTACTGTTATTTATCATGATTCCTATCTGTCGGAAGAGTTAAAGGTATCTTTTCTGTAATTCATCTCCAAACGTGAGTGAGTCATGAGCGTATGACAGTTTTCAGTCAACATGAATGAATGTGCATGACTTCTGACCTTGCTGCGTGTTTTAAGGTTATATCCAGTCGTGTGGAGTTGCGGGATTTGTTTCACATCAGGCTCTTCCGCAGAAATTGCGCTAAAGTGGTGATAATCCTTCTGTATGTATTTTTAAGGGATCGGGTTTCTGCCCTCCAGCACATTCTTGTAACGATTGGATTGGCCCGCCCGACAAGTACTCAAATCTCCGACCAGTAATCTTCTATGTTCCCCAAAATGAATCCCTGCTGGAGCGCCGGCTCAGGGAGCTCAGAGAGGAAACCCAGGCTTGGAACCAGCGGTTCTGGGCGCGCCAGAACGTGTCCTTCCAGCAGGTGAGCGGGCAGGGGAGGGCTGCGCCGCGCGCCGCTGCCCAGCCCCCGCAGCCTTTGGGGTGCTGGCCCTCTGCAAGCAAAGGCGTTCCTGTTCTCCGTTAAAAGGATTTGATGACTGCGCAGTAGGATGACCTTGAGCGATGATTCCTGCGTTATATGGCTATCCCAAATAGCCAAGTTCACAAAATTATGATTTTTCCCTTCACAAACTAGCATTAAATTCTGCCTTCAGTTACTTATCTCTTGCTTTTAATTGCTACTACAGCTTCTTTTAATAAGTTCACTGTCTTTGGGGAAATTCCTTTTTGTCATTAATTTTATTCTCAATGTTAGTTTGTTTAAAATGACCTACAAAACTGAAGAGCTTATGTATTTTACTGCTGTTTAGTGTATAAAAGGATATTTGCTTTTTCTTTTTTCTATTTTGCACTGAAAAGGTAAAGTTGTAACCACCTTTACATGCAAGACCTGTAATATTTGACTAGAGCTGCTTTTGAAAATGATTCTGTAGCTTTTTTTGCTCTACCGTAAGTGAGAAAAGTATAGGTAAGACCACTGAGGGTAAATGAGGGATGTGCGCTCTTGCACTGGCAATGTACCCCTAACAAGGCGAAAAGGGGGGACGTTTTCAGTCTTGGTCTTTCTTTTAAACATTGTACCATGGGTAAGGACACACCAAATTCTGTTGGAAGACTAGCAACAGTCCAGTAATTCACCATCACTTGTGATGGTCTTCGATCATTGTATTGTCCCCAGACTTGCAAAGGTCTTGGAGTAAGTGGAGCATGCTTTTTTTTTTTTTTCCCCCCCCTTAATTAGCTAGAACTGCTTTTTAAATTTGAAAATTTGAAATACTAATAGTTATTCTTTTTCCATCTAAGTAATTTCAGTTTTCTAAGGTTGCACATTTTCCTGTATACTAAAATTCTAAAATAAGTAACACAGCAAGTCTTCATAATTTGTCTTTTGTAAAACTTTGCAAGATTTGGATCCTGCAAAACAATACTTAAGCTCAGCTATAACTTTACTTCCACAAATAAGTTGCGTATGTTTCAGCAGGACACTTGCATGAATTAATTGATGCACACAGTTAACATCGAAGCAACACAATTATCAGTGTAATTAAGTCACTGGATTCAGGAAAATGTTTTTTTGACATCTCCAAGTGCAATGAGTACTGTGTATATTTTGGAGGGTATTAAGCACAAAGCTGGCATGTGATTAAAATCAATGGTTAACTTCAAGGACTGAGTACGTTAAGTTCTAATGTGGAAAAACATATTTTAGGAAAAAGAAGAATTTATTTATTCAAGACTGAAAGCCAAGGGTCTGAAAATGAGAGATGAAACAGGTCAGTGACATCTTTTTTTGTAGTTTAGGATGTGCTCTGAAATCTGTTTAATTTTTATTTTTGCCTGTTTATGCTCCTTTCAGGAGTCTAACAGAGAAGGAGGGGAGCTCTTGAAAGCTGTGCAGGTCAGATCTGCACAACTTCCCCCCTACCCTTCCACTGGAAGGAATGTGCTGAAATCCTAGCAAAGTAATTTCATCATTCTGTACCCTTAAGGGGGAAGGTTTTTTTTTTTCCTTTCACAGCTCATCGCCCCAGTGAACTAGCTGAGCCAAACATATACTGTTTGCCCCAAGCGCATGTTACGGTTGAGTGGATAGATTCACACTGTTCAGCCTCGGGTCGATAATATGTACAATGAACATGTTATTTTTCCTTGAGGGAGAATGAGCTTCCGAGGAGACAGCAGCTGCTCTTTGCCCTTCTTTGCCTGAGGACAGTTACTGTAAAATGTTTCCCTCTCTAACTCATTACATGAAATTGAAAACAAGAGGCCTTCGTAATACAGCGAGTTGGCCGTTGTAACATGAGGTTGAACGTTTTGTTCATAAAGATCTGTTTTGGTTTGATAGAAAACCTGCTCTGATGTTCAGTATTTCACAGACCGTTGTGTTGCACTTTTATTTGTGTCCCAGTGATCACTTTGTAGTGGAGAAAGCATTGTAATTAAATTACATGTTATTAAGAAAAAGTTTATTTTATATTGCTGATTTGTTCTTTTAGGTTTTTATATCCTAGAAGTAAAAGAGAAGATAGTAAATTTGTACATTCCTTAAAAATAAAATTGCATTCAGTGCAAATGTTTGAGTAATTGGTTTTGTTCTACGCCATGGCCCTGCTGATGGGTGATGCTGGAGCAAAATTGTTGCTATCCACAGTCTACTTGTTTGGAAATTTTCACTGAAATCACAAGACACGTGTGTGTGTATCTCTCTTGGTAATAACCTATACGTATGTGCAGTTGGAACAATGGTTATTTCTCGTATATACACGAAGACTCGGTTAGTTCTGCTGATACCAGAATGAAGAAACAAATTAACTGTAGCTGTTAAGCAGGCAGCTTTCAAATGGTCTTACGATAAGTTTACCTCATGGAATGTTAATCCATTGTAATATTTTAAATTTGTAAATATTGACAGATAGTCGTGATCAATAATTTACCTTCTGATGATAAATCTCAGGAGCTTTAAATTCATTTTGAAACGCTAACAAGCTGAATCTCTCGATTCTGTCTCCCTCATCATATCTGAATGTCCCAGGGGATAGGGATTTGATGCTCGTTTTGGAAATATCAAAAGCGCCAGAAAGTTTATATAGGAAATATCTGGTCAGAATATCATCTGGTCCTCTGGATGCTTCTTCTGTGCTGTAGCCACACATTTTCCTTTCATGATCTGTGGAGAGAATCCATCTTCTCTTATATTCTGCATTATATGAGTGGCATATTCAGATTTTTTTTTTATATTTGTGTGTGTGCGTGTGTGTATATATATATTTTATTCAGGGATATGTTTCAGGTCCTGTCTTGAACTTACTTTTCCACAAGAGACTTGTCCACCCTATTGTTAATAAATCTGACAGCCCAGAGCAGATAATCTTTCATATGAGTTACTTGAAATTTACCAAAAGCAGCAGAAAGAATTGTACCATCAAATCAAAGTTTCAAGAGGATCAGCATTTTTAATCTGCTCTGCTCCCTAGATAGATTTTTAAAAAAATAGGGAGATAGAAGCATATTAACTTGTCTAGGGATACACAGGAAGCCTGTAGGAACAAGCAACCCGAACTAGCTTTCCTGAGTCTGCACCCAGTGTTTTAATCACAAGAGCTATCTTGACAACGTTATGCTAAAACTTATTTTCAGGTCAAAAAGCAACGCTGAATGCAGAAGAAATGGCTGACTTCTACAAGGACTTCTTAAGTAAAAATTTTAGAAAGCATATGCATTACAACAGGTATGTAGATGATTTTCTTGCTGAATATTATATTACTGTCTAAGTGAAGGGCATAACATCAAATAGAAAAATCAAACATTTTTTGCCATAGTTGTTAAAATAGCATCTAAAGCTATCATTTTAGAATTTGCAGAAAAATTTGAAAAAACGCTATTAGTATTTGACATGAACTTAGGCATAGTCATTTGAGTTCTTCCACTATGTATGTTTGATTTTATGGAAAGGAAAATGTTACGTCACTCTTTCAAGAGACTTTAGTGAGACAAAACCAGGCAGCGCTCTATTCCTAAACATGCCTGCCCTTGTTTTAAAATCAGGTAGTGCCAGCTGCATCATTGTAGTTACAAAGTGTAACTGCACAGCCTTGAAAACAGCGGAGTTTATTGTAGACGTTTTGACTTTTGAGGAGTCATATTTAAAAAAAAAAAAAAAAAATCCGTTTATGCCTTTGTCTCTATGTTCTCCTCTATTGTTGCCAGCTGGCCTGAAAACTGTGGCTGCGGAAGTGTTGAAATTTCTAAAATTTAGTTAAATTGAGACAATGACTGTGCATAGACTGCTTGAATACATGTTTTAGAGTATTTAGACTGGAAACACTGTTAGAAAAAACAGAATACAAATTCAAGAAGGAAATAAAAAATAGGACAAGAAATGGGAAAAGAACAGTTGCAATGTGAGCATGATATTTTGATTTAACATGATTTTTTGGTGGGTAGCTCATATTGCTTGTCAGCATGATTCCCAGTCCTGTCCTTATAAACCCAAGATATAAGCCTCTTATATTAGATCTATGCGTGAAAGGTTTCCTATTGCAATCGGCTTGCAGACTTGAATCCTTGTCTCACATTCCCTGCTAGTTCTACCGTAAGCATATTCTGCTGCTTCTTGTGCAACATTTTACAAAATGGAGGAGGGCTGCTTATTGGAAGCTAGAAGGGCATGACTGAAACAAGCCCTCCAGAGGTAAACGACTGATACAGATTATCTTACCTACATCTTGATTTGGTTCCGAAAGTCATGTATGCTTCATTAAAACTATGTAAAGATACAAAGACTCTAACTTTGGAAATACTAAGGGCATCATCTTTAGAACACACTGAATTAGGAACTAATGTTTTGCCATAGCTGGTTATAGTCTTTGAAGTGTGATTTTTATTTTTTCCACTTTATGGGTAACCAGCCACGTCATTTCCAACACACGCGTCTTCATACATGCACAAGCAAATCTCACCCATAGCACAGCATTGTGCATCAGTCAGCTTCGTAACCACCTTTACTTCTGAAACATGTGATTTGGTTATGGTTATTTTAGCTTACCTAATTTCAAATATAATTGATCATAATATTACTCATTCCTTTTTAAATTTTTACAGTTAAGCTCTGAATGGTTGTAGCCATATATTCTGCAGGTAATCTGTTTGCAGATGTGGGTATTTCACATTACATGACTAATCCACAGATTCTGTCTAGCCAGCTACATAATAGAAAAAAATAGACGTTTTCATGGGTTATTTACTTCTAACTAGGCAGGAAAAGTGTTGCCACAGAGAATTGGAAAATTCATGTCATCACTGAATTGTCATTTGTCAATGCCAAAGGATATTTTAATATAATCATGTGCCTTTCTCCTGTTCTTGTTTTGTGCATTGGTTACTCTCCTGTCTTTGGAATCCTAGAGATTGGTATAAACGTAATTTTACTATCACGTTCCTCATGGGACAAGTAGCACTGGAGAGAGCTCTGAGGTGGCTTCGCTGGAAAAAGAAAAACATTGGAAATTAGTGATCACAACTCCATGAAGAATGTAATACTGTAGCTAGGCCCGTTCACTTGTTATCTGTAGTGATGTTCAGATTCTGAATGTCTAGTGCAATGATTACTTTGATCTGTTTGTTAGACTTTGTAGATGAAAGTTGCCATTGATCTTAATTTATAACCACTATTTACATTACCTTTACCTTTTATTCAAAGACTATCTCAAAGATTTTTCCAACCCAACACACAACTGAGAAAACTATCAAAAGCTGTCCTTTATTTACATTAAATTGAATGAGTCTCAACTGTCACATTTTACCACAGAGTCAAAGCCCATTTAAAAAAAAAATGTGATTCAATATGTTGTGCCTGAACTTTGGTCAGAGAATATAGTCTTTACCAACCATAAAATATATAAAGGACAAAAATGTCTCATTTTGCAGCATAGATGTTCTGCAACAGTAGTTATCTACACTAATGTAACATGGGAATGAGTATGATTTATGACTCTACATAGAATCAATCTGATCTAGAATTGTCTTTCTTTCAATGCGCTTAAATGTCATTTTTAAGGAAGATTTGAGATATGATTTCATATAAATGACTAAGGCAATAGAATCTTTTTAAATAAACTTGTTTCCTGTGGAAGAAACGTGTCCCCCTTGTCCAAGAGTTCCTCAAACCTCTGACTGGTAAAGATTTTTAGTTGTAGAGGAATAAAATAGATGCATTGCCAGTCACTTAAAATCTTGATAGGGAAGGAAATTGATACTTGGCTGTGTAGGGGCGAAGAATATTAGTACTAATAAGCAGTGATTTCTACTGCTTAACTACTTTGACTGGATTTGGTATTCTCACCAGGTTCTTTAAGGCACTCAAAGCAACTTGCCTGAGAGGGATTTTCTAGCCTCAAGGGATGCAACATCAGCTGGATAGAGGTTGAATTTAAACAGAGTCTTAAAATTATATGCCCCGTATCTGTCATCTAAAAGTTCCATTACTCAGAATGTCCTCCCTGTGTATTTTATACAGTTTAATGGGTTGATCTTTTGATACAGTGCCTACTAAGAAGATTCTGTTAAAAATAATGTTTTATGTTGTGAAGCAAAGCATCTTTCCCCAAAGCCAGGCTGTAAGGAAGGTTCTGGTTTTGGAAATGTCAGTTCAGTAGCCATTGGCCTGTTTTTCATATTTAAACATGACATGATTTATTCATAGGCTTTTTCAGCTGGAAAAAAAAAAAGAGGTTTGTCTGTATTAATAAATGGCAATAATTCCTTTGCAAAATGAAATAAATTTTAATTATATAGTAATGGATCACATTGTTTCATACAATGATGATTTTGTTGGTCACTGAATTGTTGTATTATTATTATTAAAGACTTAGTAAATAAAAGCATTCATTAATAATGTTTTTCTGAGAGAATAACCAGTATTTCTAAGAAAATACTGATTTGTGAATGTTATTTACTGCAACAATACTGTAAAAATAAGTGTATTTTTAAAAAAGTTGTCAAATGCCATATTTATTTAGGAAAAGTAAATTATTGAAATAAACCATTGTAGGTACGTATTGTAATTCTCCAGGACTTTACTTTAAATCATATCTTGTAGCACGTAAGCTTTGACTACAGTGTGGGTGCATGCTTTATTAAATAGTTTCAGTGTAAAGTTTACAAGAATGATTGGATAAAATAAAAAAAAAAAATAGCTCTAACAGCTGAGATCAGAACCCCAATGAACTGATTGGTAGTGATACCTTCTGGCAGCCTATGCATAAGGTCCCTAAGGTACAGTTTCACATGTGCTTTAAGTGGATAGCGGTCAATCAAAAGAAGCAGTTTCATCTTTTATGAGCTGTTCACTTATATTAACGTGGACATTTCTGTGTTTGCTGGCCTAATCAGTTCAGGAAATTGAACCACTACTGGAACTAATGCAAGGAAAAGAATGGTAGATTTCAGTTGAGTTACTCTTCTTCATCCTGCTGGCACCTGAATGCTACTGTTGGCGTAAGGGAAGATATGGGAATTTGGATTGGAGGTTAGGATTGCACTTCAGTCAACTCACAGCAGTTGTGAAACTACTTCAGATCTCTATTAAAGTCTTATATTGGATACAGTCCTCATACTGCCTGTATGAGGAGATGCTGCCTGTGGAGATGCAAACAGGAACATTTTAGTAACAAAATGACAGCTGTAAAACCCTCTTGACAGTTGGAAAGAATCCAGCTTTTCTGAACCTCTGCTCTTTGTGTTGGTCACCCAAAACCAATATAATCAGCCTCTGATGGATCATATTAGGACTCTACTCTGAGCTGTTCATCGGTTAAAATTTGTTGGAGTTGTTATGGAGTTCCATTGTCTTCATTGATATTCCACATAGGGTACTGGGCCCCTTCATCTAAAGCCTATCGAAGGAGTGAGGCTTTTATCTGTTAGGTAAGTATGGAGCTCTGTTTTAGAATATCTAATAGAGCCATTATGACATGGTGTTATTAAAAATAAAACATCTGAAATTTTGAGTCTCATTACCAAAACTACATACACTTACTAAGATAATTACATTTTCCAAACAGCCAAAGGCTATTTGGCTCATTTTTGCCAGTATTGCATTCATTTTGATATTTTTTCTTGACTCAGAGCAGTTGTAATAATGCCAGCTGCTTTCCGATATTATTGATCACAAATCCTTTGTGCATCAAAGCAAGAATTAGGAGCTCCCACAGACGACTGAAAATAAATTTTTTATGTATACAAAGGTCTGCTACAGTGACTGAAGCTACTGAGATAGATCAAAGAGTGACTTCTCTGTGCGCTTTTCCCGAGTATAGGAGAAATGCAGAGGAGCATGCTTATCATTTAGGTATTTAACTAATCCTGTCAGAAGGAACAAGCAGTATTTCATATTTAGTAGTGTCAGCATGTGCCTTTTCACAGAATCACAGAATGGTTGAGGTTGGAAGGGACCTCTGGAGATCATCTAGTCCAACCCGCCTGCTCAAGCAGGGTCCTCTAGAGCACATTGCACAGGATCGCGTCCAGGTGGCTTTTGAAGATCTCCAGGGAAGGAGACTCCACAGCCTCTCTGGGCAACCTGTTCCAGTGCTCAGTCACCCTCACAGCAAAGAAGTTTTTCCTCACGTTCAGATGGAACTGCCGGAGTTTCAGTTTGTGCCCGTTGCCTCTTGTCCTGTTGCTGGGCCTCACGGAGAAGAGCCTGGCCTCATCCTCTTCACGCCCTCCCTTCAGATACTTGTACACATTGATGAGACCGCCTCTCAGTCTTCTCTTCTCCAGGCTGAACAGGCCCAGCTCTCTCAGCCTTTCTTCATAGGACAGATGCTCCAGTCCCCTCATCCTCTTTGTAGCCCTTCCCTGGACTCACTCCAGTAGTGCCATGTCTCTCTTGTGCTGGGGAGCCCAGAACTGGACACAGTACTCCAGGGGAGGCCTCCCCAGGGCTGAGTAGAGGGGGAGGATCACCTCCCTCCGCCTGCTGGCAACACTCTTCCTCATGCACCCCAGGATGCCACTGGCCATTCTTGGCCACAAGGGCACATTGCTGGCTCATGGTCGACTTGTCCATCAGGACACGAAGGTCCTTCTTGGCAGAGCTACTTTCCAGCAGGTCAACCCCCAACCTGTACTGGTGCATGGGATTATTCCTTCCTAGGTGCAGGACCCTGCACTTGCCTTTGTTGAACCTCAGGAGGTTCCTCTCCCCCCAGCTCTCCAGCCTGTCCAGGTCCCTCTGAATGGCAGCACAGCCTTCTGGTGTGTCGGCCACTCCCCCCAGTTTCGTATCATCAGCAAACTTGCTGAGGGTGCACTCTGTCCCTTCCTCCAGGTCATTGATGAATATATTCAACAAGACTGGACCCAGGACAGACCCCTGGGGGACACCGCTAGCTACAGGCCTCCAACTTGACTCTGCGCCACTGACCACAACCCTCGGAGCTCGGCCATCCAGCCAGTTCTCAAGCCA